TTACTAGAACTGACAGTGTCCAGGCTACCTCCTAGTTTTAATAGTCATTGAATTTACCAACTTCATGGAGAAGTGATCCAGTACAGAGACTATAAGATTTTGAGTCGGAAGATATGATTAGGATGATGGCTCAGACCATCACTGTCTGTGAGACTCTAGGTAAGTCACAGAACTATTTATCATCTGGACTGCAGGTCTAATAATAGTTTTCTCACAGAGCATCTTAGCCTGGGCTCCCCAGGAGGCAGAGCCTGAGACAAAGGCTTATGTGGGAGTACTTTACTGGGAGTATTATTCCAGCAGCAGATGTGAGGGACAGGGGAGTAAAGCAGAAAAGGAGTAAGAACAGGAATTTGTTATTGGTTCATTGCTTGATACAAGACCATCTGAGAAGCGGTACAAAATATGTCTTAAAACCGTCTATCATGGGGACTAAGGAGAGAGCATTTGTCCATCAGTTTCTATTTCCCGTTGGTAAAATATTCACCTTGTAGGTCTTAACTGTTCCCTATTTCCGATTTGTGCATGTGTAGGCACCAAGTGGCTTCCATAGGTGACTTGCTACCTGACTGTGGGGCAAGGCAAGGCATAAGCAGTTACAAGCCTGATGAGTCAGTTTGTAACTGCATGAAGCTGGTTGGACCTGTGCCGAATGAGTCAAAGCAACCACAGCTGGAATAAGAGGCGTAGCTGAGAAGATCTCTAACTGTGCATAGAGGTCTTGCTATATTTATACATTGATATATATGTATATATCACCTCTTGCACCACTCCGATCCACTTGTACCCTCCTTCAAGTCCAGTCTACTGTGGAGGGCCCTTCTGGATGGTGGGCAGCCACAGTCTCTGTAAAGACAATGTGAGAGGACTCGGGAAATAAAATAAGCTATCTTCCACTTGGCTGCAACAGCTCGCATGGCTATAACTGGTATTTATCATCCTTTCCTCTACCACCCATCCTAGATATGGCTCACTCTTGGTCAGAGCTTTAGATGGTCTGAGTAATTTGTCTGATGGGGTGATTTAGACCTGCCCAAGTGATCTGAACCCTTCATTGCTTTGCCTTTGTCAAGACTTGTTTGTAACAACTTCCCATTGATCACTGGGCACAGAAGATAAATAGACACCTCAGTAAAGCCCCTGGACTCCAGATGTACCCATTCCTGCCCCCATTCCATTTTGTGGCAGCAGCTCCATCATCATGGTAATCAGAGTCAGTTCTCTCCAATGTAAGTAACCTTCTTTGCCTGCTGGTTCATGAGTATTAGGAGCCCAAAGCCTTGGTCCTACAGACCAGGCTGTAGTCACAACTTCAAGTTCAGAGGAGCCCTTACAGCATCCATAGAGGAAGCATTTACCCTCTGGGAACCCGGCCTCTAATCTAGCAGACCTAAGATTTTGGAGCTAGAAAACAAAATTCTGCAAGTGGATCACTTGGATTGAAAATGACTAGAGCCAGTACCACTTCCACCCCTGGGTTCCTGGATCCACGTATTCTAGCCATTAGAGACACAGCACCACAGGCATGGGTTTACTGCATGCACTGTATCCTGGAGTAGTCTCCAACTTTGAGCTGGCACATTAATTGAGTTAAGAGATCCTTCCACTGTTCTGTTATGCTGCTGGCTTATAGGTTTAGTCTATAAGATAAAAATAGTGGATGCTATAGTCATGTCAATTGTCTTACCTCCTTTGCTGACCGTGATGACAGATGAAACCTTTGATAAACCCTCGGATAGTGGTTCTGGCAGTGTTACTGTGTGCAAGAGAGGCAAATACATATCCAGAGAAGGTTTCCATGCTGGTAAGGTTAAATCACTTACTAGGTTTCAATTCAGGTAAGGTTAAATTAAAGTGGAAAAGGTCTGATGTACTCAAGCTCCCACTTGGCTGGCTGGGTTCCTCAAGAAATCATTCCATAATAAAGGCTTAGTATTGGCTTCTGCTCTGGTAGGTTTGTCGTTTTATAGTGGCAGCAGCTAAATCAGTTTCCTCCCTAATGATAGAGATTCAAGAAGAACACATTTGCCAGGTGAATAGCTGCATATCAAGTGCCATGGCTATGTTGATCTGAGCCAGTACACAGACCACATCCAGCTCAGCAGCTGAGATTGCTGCCACCTCTTTAATTTCACAGTGCTCCTCCATTATCAAGCGTAATCCACCTCTGTTTTCAGGGGCTATACAGGTCAATTAAATGGAGACTACCACTTCTTCAAATCTTTGACAATGTCACTAATCTCTGCCATCTCTCCTTGGTAAGGTATTGTTTCTAACTTCCTATCTTGGTTGGTGGGGGATGAACAGTTTCAGAGACTTTCACATGAGCCTTCCTCCAAAAATTCTTATTCCACAGGTAAGTGGATCAAAGAGAGGGTTCTGTCAGCTTCTCTACAAACTATAATTGAGGGACCAGGTAAACAACCGTAGGAGACATCGGATCCACTGGGGCCCATTGGATCCACTGTGAGTTAGAATTGTGCCAGAATTCCAGCTGATACAAACTGCTGCTATAACAAAACTTCCTGGATTCCCAGAATTTCTGATCTCTGGCATGTTCCTAGTCCTAAATATTGCATCTCACAACTCACAAAACTGGGAGCCTGACTACTGTCTGAATCAAATAATCTGAAATTAAATCTCTCAATGTTTTCACCTAAATGTTCCCTATGTCTCCTGCCTTCATCTTAAAAATGTCTGTGAGAGTTACTGGTAATGAACACATTCTATTCTTATTTGCCTACCCTACAAGAGTAATATTACTTAGTCATTTTCACACTAACAACAGGTAAACCTGAGCATCATTTAGGTAACTAAATTAATACAATAAACATTTACTTTAATACTAATTTTTTTTTTGATACCCGTCCTAAAGAGAATATTGGGAGGGAGAGGCCCGATGATCTAGGGCTTAAGTGATAAATACTTCATGGTGAGATGATGTACACACAAAGGTTCTTTCTAGCTGAAAACTTACAAGCACCTCAAGTGAGCTAGAGTTATTGAATGTAGTTCTTAGGCAATTAAGTGGATTTGTGATATTGGGCAAATCATACCATTTTAAGTGTTTTTTCACCTTTTCCCTCTAAGATCACAATAATAGTTGGCACTTACACATTAAACTATAATTAACAAGAACTTTCATACTCATTATCACATTTAATCTCTCCCGCAAAACTGTTATGAAGATTGCCTATACTTTACAAAAACCGATATTCAAAACTATTAGTATCTCTCTCCTGCTCACAAAGCCATCAAGTGGCTGTCCAGACATAAACCTTCTTACTCCATCTTCAATTGTTTGTGTTTTCCCTTACTATCTCCATTGGCCTCTTATGATAGAGGTGCAGTACTATAGTGAATAAAAATAGCATTGAGAATAAGGTAAGTCACTTAAGCACCTGGAGGAGTTGTGAAAAACAATTGAGAATACGTATGGGCTTTTAAGCAGTTCGAGAGGCTTAAGGAAACGTAACTGACAAGGTCAAGAGAAGGTGGCTTCTCTTGAGGGTAGAGGGTAGACATGGACTGTTTGATTTTAGTTAAATGATATTTCTGGTTTGTGATTCCGAGTACCTGACACCTTAAAATATTCAAGATGACACAGAGATGCTATATTATACCTGCTCTAGAATTTAGAAATATTTATTAAATGGATGTATAAATTATTTAATTTTTCTATAACATCAGAAATTTCCAACTTGAGATTATATCTAGGTGACATTTAGAAATGCAAATCCCTCATGCAAATTTCACAAATGTTTATTGAATATTGTCTGTGTACTGAGTATAGGTAAGAGGGGCAATAGAGAAGAAAACTTCCAATTGCTGTCTTCATGGATTTAACAGTTCAGTGACATATGTAGACATTGATTAAATAATCACAAGGTGAATATAAATCTGCAATTGCAGTAAGTGCTGTGAAAGAGAGAGACATGGTGATGTGAGGGTTTGAAATAAGAATTTGACCTAAACAGTGTGTCAAACAAAGCAAAGGACAAAAGAGATATGGAGAGGATAGAATAGGACTTCACTAAGTGAAAAAGGAAGGGGATCTCAGGCAAAAAGAAGGTGGTTACAGATGGCCTCAGCATTGTGAGCATGGGGGCTAAAAGAAGACAATGTGGTTCAAAAAGAGAGTGTGAGGGGATCAAGATTTGAAAGGCTGCTAGAGGTAGTAGTGGTCAGACTATGCCAAGCCTTGTAGACCATGTAAATGAATTTTGCTTTTATCTTAAGACAAGGGCCAGCCACAGAAGGTTTTTAAGAAGGGGTGGGGGGCCAGCCCGGTAGTGTAGTGGTTAAGTTCTCACACTCCGCTCTGGCCCAGGGTTTGCAGGTTTGAATCCCTGGCACATACATACGCACTGCTCATCAAGCCATGTGTGGTGGCATCCCACATATAAAATAGAGGAAGATGGGCACAGATGTTAGCTCAGGGCTAATCTTCCTTAGCAAAAAGAGGAGGATTGGCAACAGATGTTAGCTCAGAGCCAATCTTCCTCATAAAAAAAAAAAAAAAGAAGAAGGAAAAAGAAGAGGTGGGCAGTGACTTGATCAGATTTGTGTTTCAACAAGATTAATTTGGCTGCAGTTTTGTGTGGGCCAGATAAGAGCAGACTTTGGTAGAGCAGTCAGTAGGTCATTGCAGTAGCCCAGTGATAGATAATGCTAAATAGGCTGGGGGTGGGATGGAGAGAAGTAGGGCAGAATTGACAGGTATTAAAGGAATAAGGTAAACAGGACTCTGACTTGCATAACAAGGTTAGTTACACCATTCACCAAAGGAGGGAACGCCACAAGATGACCATGTTTTGCAAGGAAGATCATTAGTTTAGTTTTGAAAATACTGTTTGGGGTGAATATTTGTTTCTTCAGATCGGGGGGAGATCTCTACTGAAGATATAAATTTGGAAATCATCTTTATAAAAAACATGGTGATTGAAGTCTTGGATGTGAATTAGACTGCTTATGGAGAAAGTATAGTGTGAGAGAATGAGAAGGTCTTGGACTGGGCCTTAAGAAACTCAAATACTTAATAATTAAGGGAAAGGATTATCTTACCAAGAAGACCAACAAAAACAGGTTGAAAGTAAAAGAATGGAAAAAGATGTACCGACCCATGGAACCCCAGAATACTGAAGAAAAAAACAATGACAGAATTGAAAGGAAAAATAGATAATTTAACAAAAATTGTTGCAGATATCAATACCCTTCTCTGGATAATTGATAAAATAACTAGACGTAAAATCAGCAAGGGTACAGAAGACTTGAAAACCCCTATCAACCTACTTGGTGTAATTGACATTTGCAAAACACTCTACTGAAAGAAAACAGAGTACAATAGTCCTCCCTTATTCATGGTTTCAATTTTCACAGTTTCAGTTATCCACGGTCAAACGTGGTCCAGAAGATGAGCCTAATGCTACCTCACAATGCCTATGTCATTCACCTCACTTCATCTCATCACATAGGCATTTTATCATCTCACATCATCACAAGAGGAAGGGTGAGTACAGTACAAAAAGATACTTTGAGAGAGAGAGAGAGAGAGACCACATTCACATGACTTTTATTACAGTAATTGTTCTAGTTTATTAATAGTTATTGTTGTTAATCTCTTACTGTGCCTAATTTATAAATTAAACTTATTACAGGTATGTATGTACAGGAAAAAACATAGTATATATAGGGTTCAGTCCTATCCCTGGTTTCAGGCATCCACTGGGGGTCTTGGAACGTATGCCTCGTGGATAAGGGGGAGAATGGTGTACACATTCTTTTAAGTGCACAAGGAATATTCTCCAGGGTAGCTCATATGATAGGCCACAAAACAGATTTCAATAAGTTTTAGAAGACTGAATTCATACAAAGTATGTTCTACAGCCAAACAGATTTAAATTAGACTTAACGAATAAAAAATTTGAGGAATCTCCAAATATTTGGAAATTAATCAATATATGTCTAAATGACCTGTGGGTCAAAGAAAAAAAATCACATGAAAAACTATAAAATATTTTGAACTGAATGAAAACAAAAGCACATTAATATCAGGAACAATGTGAGAATGTCTGCTCTCAACACTTCTATTCAACATTATGCTGTGAGTTCTAGCCTGTATAACACCCCGTTTCCCTCCCAGCCCCCCCAAAAACGAAGGGAAAGGGGAAGCGGAGGGGAGAAAAAGGAGAAGGGGAGGAAAAGCGAGAGAATTTATGGCATCAGATTTGACAGGAATAAGTAAAATTGTCTTCCTTCTCAGACAATATTATCCTGTATGTATAAAATAAAATATAAGAAATCAACAAAAAAAACTCTGCTAGAACTAATAAACAAGTTTAGCAAGGTTAAAGAGTAACAGCTCAATATACAGAAATCAATTATATTTCTATATCTAGCTACAAACAATTCAAAATTGGAATTAAGGCAACAATTCTATTCAAAATAACTTCAAAAAGTAAAATGCTTGGAAATAATTTTAACAAAAGAAGTACAAGGTTAGTACACTGCAAGTTATAAAACATTGCTGAGAGAAGTTAAAGAAGATCTAAATCAGAAATGTAAATAAAGAAAACTCAAAAGAATCAACTGAAAGATGATTAGAAAAAATAATAGAGTTCAATAAATGGATAGACATCAAAATAAAAACACAAAAACCAATGCCTTTCTCATAGTCCAGAACTAAGCAATTCAAAAATACAAAGGGAAAAAAATTATTTATCATAGCAAAATAAAACATAAAGTACCAGAAAATAAGTTTTCTTCTACAAAATTTAAACAAGACAAAACATAAGACTTGAATAGATGGAGGAATAATCTTTTTTTAAATTACTAAAACATATTAAATTCTTTGAAATTAGTTTACAATTTTGATGCAAGGCAATAAACATTTAAAGAATTTAGGAGGAGATTGTCAAAGCGATTCTAAAATTCACCTGGAAGAAAAATGAATTGTAATTACTAAAAACTTTCAGAAAGTAAGAGGGGGGCTGTTGTTTTACCAGATATAAATGTTCACTATGAATTCACAATAATTAAAATAACATGATAAACAAAAGTCAACAGACAGATCAATGGAGCAGAAAATGTAGTTCCAAAACAGATCCTAAATGTATCATATTTAGCAATATGATCAAGAAGTTGTTTGAAATAATTTAAGCAATGGTTATGATAATAATGGTTGTTCACTTGGCAAACAATAATTTTAGATACTCATTCTATAAAACAAAGTCAATTTCATATGGAATAAACAGTTGGATGCAAAAATACGCCACATAAAGCCATATAAATAGAAGGAATATGGGTGAATATTTACCTGACTATGGTTGAGAAACAACTTTACAACTTAATAGTGAAAGATCTCTTAAAGGAGAAAGGGAAATAAAGTTCACTAGTTATAATAAAAGGCATCTAGACATCAAAAATCCTAAACAAAAATAAAAGGCAGGAGACTAGTAGAATATTTGCTAAAAATATGACAGATAAAAGCTGGCTACAAGCACATAGAAGTAATTAGGGGGAAAAAACCCCACAGAATCCACCATCCCTCCAAAAAGGCAAATATATAAACAAACAGCAGCATAGAAATATTTGAAAACAAAACAAAAAAAAGAACAAGATGAATGTAAATAGTAATCAATAAAATGCTAAATAAAATTAAATTTTAGCTTTCCTTGTGCAACTGGCCCCAAAGCAAGTTTTTTAATGTTAATATGTTGATATTGGCCAGGAGGTGGTAAAGAAAGAAATTGGCACAATCTTGTGGCAAACAACGTGGCAACACATAACAAAAACCTTAAAATAAAGTTTATACCTTTTGACCAGATCTTCTTTTTCTTGACTACTGATTAAATCTATGCCACTCCTCCAGTTCAAAGGGCCCATAGTCTCTTTATAATAAAATCTTTCTTCCTGGCCTCTGTGCCCCCTAATCTGTCATCCTTTCCACAGTTCCAGTGCTGTTCCTACAGTGCAAATCTGATCATGTCATTCCCCATCTTCAAACCCTTCATGGCTGTTCCATTTATCTACTGCTGTGTAACATACTACGCTAACACTTAGTGGTCTAAAACAAACAGTTTTATTCTATCTTACCATTTTGTGGGTTAGGAATCTGATGGAGCTTGCCTGGGCAATTCTATTATGTCATGCGGCCTCAACGGCATCAATGGAGGTCACTCGCTGCTATTTTGCTGGAAGATGGACAAGTCTGGAGGATCCAGCGTCATTCACATGTCTGGCACTTTGGCTGGAAGATTGGGCTCAGCTGTCAAGGGAAGTATCTACATGCGGCTTCTCCAGCCTGGTCATAAGATCTAGAAGCATCTCAAAATCAAACAGAAGCAGGCTTTTCTTGTATAGGGAGGGGTAAGCAGGGCGAGAAGGAAGGTTGTGAGGGAGTGGGGCAAGTGTGTGGGTGTGAGCAGATGGCATGATTGGGGTACTTTAACAACAACAAAATTTGTTTTTCCCTCTATGGTCAGCTGATTCTCAGACTAAGCCATTAAGGGAGGATTTTCTGCACCTTATTGCTTGCTTAAGCCCAAGGGTATGCCAAGGTTCAGGGGCCTGTGGGGAGGAGAGAAGCTTTACTAAAGTTTGGTTAAGTCAAGTCAATGGGTAAGTAATGGGGAAAAAAATATACTTTAACCACCTCATACTGAAGGTAAAAATTAACACAAAAAGGATTATAGACTTAAAATTAAAATCTAAATCTATAAAGCTCCAGAAGAAAACATAATAAAAACTCTCTGCGGCCTTGGGGTAGCCAAGTGGTCTTAGGATAAAAAAGCATGCACCATAAAAGAAGAAGAATAATAAATGGACTTCATCATAAGTAAAAACTTTTGTTTTTTGAAACACACTGTTAAGGGAATGAAAAGGCAAGCTCTAGACAGAGAGAAAAATATTTTATCTGACAAAGGACTTGTATTCTTAAAACATAAAGAAAACTTACAAGTCTATATTAAGAAGTCAAACAATCTAATATTAAAAAATAAAGAAAATATTTGATTAAATACTTCAAAGAAGAGATGTAAATATAAAACAAGCATATGAAAAGAGGCTGAACATCATTAGTTATCACAGAAATGCCAATTAAGATCACAATGGGATATAGCTACACATCCATTTAAACAGCTAAAATTAAAATGACTAAAATAACGACTGTTGGAAAGGAAGTAGGGAAACTGAGACTCTTATACAGAGCCGGTAAGAATGTAAAAGAGTATCACCTCTCTGAAAAACACTGTCAGTTTTTTTATAAAGTTAAACATACACTTAAAATACAACCTAGCAATTCCAGGTCTAGGTATTTACCCAAGAAAAATAAAAACATATGTTTGTACAAAAACCTGTATGTGTTTAAGCAGCTGTTTAGTTTCCTACGGCTGCCGTGACAAATTATCAGAAACTGTGTGGCTTACACTAACAAAAATGTATTGTATCACGTTAAAAGTTTGAAATCAAGGTGTCGACAGAGCAGAAGGCTCTAGGCAAGAACCCTTCCTTGCCTCTTTCCTCTTCCAGCTTCTGGTGGTTGCCAGCAATCCTTGGCATTCCTTGGCGTTCAGCTGCATCACTCCAATTTCCACCTCCATCTTTACGTGGCCATCTTCCCTCTCTGTGTGTGTCTATTTCTGTGTCTCTCCTCTTCTAAATGGGCACTAGTCATATTGGATTTTGATCTCATTATAACTAACTACATCTTCAAAGATAATTTCCAAATGAAGTCACATTCTGAGGTCCCGGGTGGACATGAAATTTTGGGGGACACTATTCAACGCAGTACGTTCTACTCTCTGACCCCCCGCAAATTCACATCTGTCCCATGAGCAAAAGAAATTCACCCCATCCCAATATTTCCAAATGTATTGACCCATTCCAGAATTAATGGTAAGTTCCAAATCTCATTTGAATATCAATTCAAAAAGTTTCATATTTTATCACCTAAATCAGGTATGAGTGAAATTCTTGATGTGGTCCATCATGGAGCAAAATCTTCATACGCAGACCTGAGAAACTAGAAAACAATTATCTGCTTCTAAAATACAATGGTGAGACAAGCATCGGATAGACATTGCTATTCTGAAAGGGAGAAAATAGAAGGAATAATGGGGTCACTTTTCCCAAGCAAGCTAAAAACTCAGCAAAGCAAATTCCCTTAGGTTTCAAGATCTGAGAATAACCATCAGTGGCTGGATGCTCTGTCCTCTGGACCTTCTGAGGTAGTCCTGCCCTCAGAGGGCTTGCCTCTCTCTTCGATCTGATAGCTACTTTTTACATTGTGACTGAGTGAATGTATCACTTCCACACATGTACATGCCAGGCATGAATTCTTCACTGAGATGCAACTCAGGTGACCAAAACTGTGACTTCTTTTATCGTTCTGTAACTGAGCCAACCAGTGCTTAACTCTCCCTTCTGATAAATAGCAAAATTCTTGATCTATTTATTTCCAGGTAAATTTAGTCACTTGCACATATTTCTTGATCTTTAGGAAAATATTCTAGGGGTTTCCTTCCTGCTTTTACTTCCCTTTACTTCTCCACTTCTCTCCGTGGGTCTAAATGCCGGGGTGGGGAGGGGCAGTGGGTATATGCATTGTTCTGCCTTTGGATTGAGACATCTGGTCCGTTGTTGTCTTCAGTGGGTGTTCAATATCTCATATGCTTTCAGCACTGGTCTTTGGTCATTTGCTTGCATACGCTGGCTCTGCTGAGGCCATGCTGGCTTCATCAGGGCGACTGGTCAACAGGTCTACATCCTCTGGCCTGCCTAGTTTCAGCCTTTGTGCTTCTCCTCCGGGACATAGAAAACAAACCTTTCTATACAACCCTTTGGGGGTTTTAATTTTGCTGATGCTTTTAGGCCCATTTGCCTAGGTACCACACTCAGACTTTTCTCCTCTACTGTGCTTAACCTCACCAAACAAACAGCTTCTTTACAGGGCTTTCAGCCTGGGAAGTGAGGCAAGAAATGCCTCTCTCAAGGAGTCCTCCAAGGAGTCCTCCAGAACTTGTCTGAGGACCCTATCATTCCCCTTTGTGAGGATCTGGTCTAGAGTTAGGGGTTGAAGACAGTGAACTCTTTCTTCATGATATTAGTCATTTACTGTGTTGCTCTGTTTTCTGTTTATGTGAAAAAAAAAAAAATTCCCCTAATGAATAAATTATTTTATTTCCTCATCTTGTGTAAAGAAAACTTCTTTTATAATCTTCATGATTTTTCTCAACTTTATTATTTTTAGTTTCAACTTTCTGCTTTGAGTTAAAACTCAAAAAGTTCTTTGTCTCTCCAACAACTCAGCCTTCAGCGAAAACCTTTATTTTCAAGGCTGTTCTCTCCTCAGTGAGTTTTAAGAGGCTGTTTTGGAACTCAGTGCCAACAACATTTTTGACTCTCTGTTCTAAGCAGTTTATGCTCTCTCTCAGAGAGCAGTAAATAAAGTACTTCTCGCTTTCTGTGTACTTTCTACCTAAATGGTGGCAATGAAAAAGCCTGCTTAGTAACATTCAAAATTCTTCCTTTCTTTTCTCCCTTCTCTCTTCTTTCCTTCCTTCTTATCTTCCTCCCATCCATATTTCAATCATCTGTGTTTATATACACACACATACACACAATCACAGGTGCATGTGTAAATACCACATAGAATGGTATATTTTAATTTCTTTATCCTCTTTCTCATTTTCATGTTAGAAGATAATATCTATTTCATTTTGTCCTGGTAGCTAAATATTGAGGCATCTTAATAACTATCATTCATTAATTTGTTTGACAAATATTTATTGAACTCTCTCTAGATGCCAGCATTGAAGCAGACACCTGAGAAGAAAGAGGTAATCCCTGTGTTCAAAAGAGCCACAGAATAGTGGGCATGATTGGCAAGTGTACTGTCACAGTTCTCCAGAGAAACAGAACCAATAGGATGTATGTATATGTATTTTTTAACAATTTATTTTAAGGAATTTGCTCACACTACTGTGAGGGTTGGCTGTTCTGAAATCTGTGGGGCAGGTCAGCAGGCTAGAGACCCAGGGAAGAGCTGATGCTGCATTTCTAGTCCAAAGGCAGTCTGGAGGCAGAATTCCTTCTTCCTTGGGACTTCAGGCTTTTTTTTTAAGGCTTTCAACGGATTGGAAGAGGCCCACCTCTGTTATGGAGGGTAATTTGCTCTACTCAAATTCTACTGATTTAAATATTAATCACATCTAAAAAACATCTTCACAGTAACGTCTAACCTGGTGTTTGGCCAAAAACTGGGTACCATGGCCTAGTCAAATTGATGCATGAAATTAACTATCAGAGCAAGTAAAAGGAAAATTAAAGAATGATAATTGATAAATTCTTATACAGAGTTATGAATATCTTTTTTGACAGAAATGATATTCTCTTATAAAAACAGAAACTGCATTGGGGCCAGCCAAGTGGCATAGTGGTTAAGTTTGGTGCGCTTCGCTTCGGCAGCCCAGGGTTTGTGGGTTTGGATCCTGGGTGCAGACCTAGACCACTCATCAAACCATACTGTGGTGGTGACCCACATACAAAATAGAGGAAGATGGGCACAGGTGTTAGCTCAGGGATACACTTCCTCAAGCAAAAAGAGGAGGATTGGCAACAGGTGTTAGCTCAGGGCCAATCTTCCTCACCGAAAAAAAAAAACAAACTGAATGACATACTCTGATATTCAATGCTAGAAATCTGGAAAAAAAATCTGGAATATTTATTTCCTGTATTATTTATATCCTTACAGTGTGTTTTTTTGCTTGTTTTTCTTTTTAAAATTAATATGAAAAATAATGCCACCAGATACAACTGAAAAAAATTCTGAAAGTGGCAGAGATAAAGTAAAATATTTCAATCAATACAGTAAACATTTTGTTGTTTATTAGTCAACATTGCACCAAATTTCTTGCATCAAAGATTCAAAGAGAAAAATACATGAATGAAGAATGTGCTGTTAACACTTAGCGCATTGTCTTTAATCCTATAATGTGGCAAGACAGTCAGACATTCCACTACTACTAACGGCTGACTAGATATTTGAGACGAATAAAATGCTGAGTGATGTATAAAACACATTTACTTCAAAATTCCGAAGAGCAAACAAGTTAGTGTGGAAATACCAGCCCAAGATCCAGGAGAGGATGAGAGACTGGAGAGGTATGGCTATATACTACAACTGGGAGTCTACAACACACATTACTCATTTGCCAACTGGCTCCCAGTAGGCTCTGCTTATAGGGCATGCTGCAGGGAGACAGGGAGGCTGAAAGAAGAAAAGAGGACACTTTTGTTTTTTCCTGTTTTCTTCCTCTTCCTATCAGTGTGACCCCAGCAGTGGTTCTTGACCCTGGCAAGTAGCAGCAGGTTGGTCCACATTACAGTTTTTCTCTACTACCAGAACTAATCCCTTCATGCCCCCTCAGAGACAACAGCACCAGCCAGCTGGGACCCCTTCTCATAGGTCTGAGTCACACCTCTGAAGTCCTTCTCCTCTAAGCCTCTAAGATTTAGTAATTCCCTTCTCATCCTTTTGTTCCCCCAGCACTAGGGGTGGTAAATACTTATGTCCTCATTAGTTTCTTCAGTTTTCTATATCTAGTTAGCAACGCTTTGTATTAAATTCTCTTTGTTAAAGTAACTTTATGGTGGTTTATGTCTTGACTGGACCTTGACTGACACAAAAGTACTTTTGTCCTTGGAATATTTGTAGATCCAGTGAGGGCAGCTGTGTAGACGTACTGTGCTTTTTGCAATCTAGCAGAATAAAATTTCTAGGCATATCGAAGTTTGGAACTCTGATAAACCAACCCACTTTAATCTGGGACTTAAGTGTGTCCTGTAAGTAAATCAATCCTTGTGTTGGGTCTTTTGTATGGTCAAGGAAATTTCAAACCTTCTTTGTTCAAGATTGTCTCAGAATTTTAGCTTCTTAAGCACTTGGCAGAAGAAAACATAAATTCTCTATGGAGGAAGACAATCACATTCTAGGTCTCAAATTATTTCTACAAATATTTTTTTTTTCAAATAAATATCCAATACACAATCAAAGATAAACAGATACAAAAGGATGCAAAATTCTATAAGCAAATACCAGAAGAAGCAATAGACAATAAAAGCAGACCAACAGGGACTTCTGGTGTTAGAATTGTCACTAATAGGCTATAAACTATACTTATATGTTCAAGGAGATAAAAGCCAAGCATGAAAATTTTAGCATGGAATTGAAAACTATAAAAAATGACA